GCCTAACGCTGCTAGCTTGGAACTCTTTTGTCCACCTCTTGCTAGTTTCTCTAGCTTTCATGCTTTCATTAATCATAACCTTCATATCATTTTTTTCTTTATTTAGGGTTACCATGTCAGTCTTCTACCCCTTGGTCAAAATGTTAAAAAAAAAACTTTCTCCTTCAACTCAATCAAAGCGAGCTTTGATTCTTGATGTTTTTGAAAGTGTGATGTGATTGATCTGTCATGTATGCTCTCCATTAAGAATATGTCATACTCTTTATAAGAGGAAGACGCCTAGTTTTTTTTGTTGATGTTGTGAGTTTCTTCTTCATCCACATCGAACTGATCATGGGACGCAACTCATTGGGCTTAGTTAAATACTCATCCTCATGCATTCACTCTTGGGTAAAATCAACTGTAACCTTGATTTTTTTCTTATTAATAAGTGCTACGTGCCATCCCAAATTTAAATTATTTCAAGAAAAATCATTAGAAGTAGTTGATGGATCAACTTGCTTTTTCTTTAAATTTTCACCTGGATATAATTTCTTAAGGCTAGATCTTATGAGAGCCCCTAGGGCATCCAAGTATTTTCATTCCTCATAATTCTTTTCCCTTTTTCTTTAGGAGTTGGTTCAGCTAGTGAATTTTCCCATGGAGCTACCTGTGACTCTCGAATGTATATTCCTCTGGGTAAGGCTATGCAAATTGCCTTCTAATAGTAACAGTGTTATATCACATATTCTTCCTTTTCTACCACTTCTTCTTTGAGAAACAAATGTATCACTGATTGTAAGCATTGACAGCCCATCATTCTCCACCCCGTGACTCATTAGAAGTGCTAAAGATTCATCCCTACTCCTGTTGGTTGGAAAAGCTAGGGACATTAATGCCTTGAGCCGCTCATAAGACGAGACTCCATACATAGTCATTTAATCTACATTCCAAAACAAGATAAAGTGTTAGACCAAACTTATTTAGCCCATTCAATGACTAAAGAACGTTAGATTACTAACAAAACAAACTCATCTTTTAAAATTTATATTGAAAAAGTGAGAGAAGTATATCTTTTAACATCAATTTCTATTAACTTAGAAACCTTAAAACTCAACAACTTCTCAGAAGTTAGCTCAATAAAAGAGTTGGACATGTCTTCCACAAATGAATGTGGTTTCATCAAAATCATTTATGCCACTCTTGCTATGGGCAAAGCAAAATTCCTTATCCAATGGAGCACTTTTTTCTCAAGGCAAATGATATGCGCCTTTGTGGAGAACGTCACCATTTCATCATTCTAACCTTTTGGAGTGAAAAACTTTCTAAATAAGCTAGTCAATCAATGCAAATACTAGAAAAAACAAACAAAAACCCATCATAATGCTCATGATTAAGTTAGGGCTTATGTGACCCAATACCTCATCAACACAAAGGAAACTAGAGACCTAATTAGAACTGATCTTTATAGTAACATATCTCGTGATTGTAGAGTTGCTTAGAGCCTTGTCTTTTTGTCAGCGTTAGAATTATCATGTTATTGAGAATTTAAGCTTATAGTGATTTTGTTACTGATGCATATTCCATCAATGATCCCTTTTGAAACTTGGTTACCATCACCACTAAGAGGGGAGGAAGAGTGAAACAAACTATAGAAGTAAACGAAGGGCTTACTCTCTCTGTATACATGAAAGGACAAATGAGATATGTAGAAAAATACACACATATCTCTCAATAAAACAATCAAATACTAAAATTCTCTTGATAAATGTTATCAAAAGGACAAAAGAAACAAAACTTGACCAATTATATAATCATTTATATACAAGAGATAAAAATGAGTGGACATTTTTTCATAAATACACACATATGCATCTAAATAAGAGAGTGCTTTCAAATTAAAGGAGAAATAAAGTGACGGGATGAAGCAAAACTTACTGGATAACCACCATACATTCATTATACTATATCAGATACAAAGACATCAACCGAAATAAAAATGATCAGAATGAAAGAAATCAAAATTTTGTTCTATTATATCGTTCAAATTAATCATGTTGGAGCAAAGAAGTCGTTGCAGAACTAATTACCCACCTGAATCAAACTGATGCTATTGATTTAGTTATAAGCTTGGTTGAAATAGATATAGTTTATCCTTTATCTCTTTTAATCATTGAGGAGTCTCATCAATGGCCTTTAAGCTCTCTTTGAGTGTAGCCTCTAACTCGACAACCCTTTCTCTAGAATTTAAATTATCAGTGATCCCTCTAACCTCAATATTATTAATACACTCACAGGCTTCTTGAGGATTTTATTCCACATTAATCAGTCTATCCTCCAAGCCACCCTATGACTTAAAGAAACTCACTTCCTGCTTGTCAGAAGTGCCTATTGGCAGGATGGTAGGAATATGTGTTTCATCAACAAGCATCGATATCCCTTAATAAACATGAATAGTACGAACCATGATTGATATATCTAGATTAACTCCTCATCGATAGTCTCTTGCTCAAGCCATTGTGCCTCTTTTCACCGTGTATCTTCTAAAGCAACAAGTGGTATTACTCGGCCAAGAAAAATGTCTCAACTTTACTAGAATAAGTTTGGTTACCTTCCAAATATGTGTTGATACTAGGAGATCTCTGAGCCTCAAACACCTTTACATGCTCTAGGTGATCATCCTCGACCCTCATATAATTATTGGGACAACCACTTGAACAACTTGTTGGTCCACTGACACACATATTTTAGAATAAAGCATAGAATGATCACATCAAGGCATGCTACTCCAATGAAGTACATCTACTTTTAAAAATTGCAAACGCAATATTCTTACCCCCCGAGTTGAGTTCAGAGAGCATCATATTACTAATCTCTTTCTTCCCACAATATAAATCAAAATATTATTCTTCTATTGCATAATTGATATCAATAGGAACGCTCCCCGACGGGTCAGCTCTTAAGCAAAGCACCAACAACGCGTCATCCATATCAGCTTCTTTTTTCTCACTTAAGACAGAATTTGAAATATTACCGCTTCTTATATATTTTCCTTGGCCGCTTCCCTTTCATCACACGATATACTCATCTTCCTTGTGTCTTTCTCTCAGGAGATAATTACTTTTTATCTTGTGAAGGAATCCTGTCAATAACAATTCTCTTAGAACTTAGATTTAGCTTTGGTTAAATGCTTCATCATAGATAACAAAGGAGCAAAGTTCTTGAATAAAAAAAAGGAGAGAAAAATTCTTTTGGATCAAGGATTTTTATGACCTTCATGAGAAAACTTTTGAAACAAGAAGTTCTTTTGAAATAAGTTCTTTGACCTTCATGAGACACACTTATAAAAGCCTAACATAGATTTTGCGCTCAACATAATTACATAATCACCACAATTAATGATCTTAAATGCTTACAAATCATTTTTTTTATTGACTGGATAATGACATTTAATGAAGGCTTAATGCTCACATCATGGTATTTCAAATTTTATGATGCATTTTCTCTTACAGAGTGGAAGCTGTAACTTCAACAACTTTGTCAGTACAGGGAAGTAGTTACATTTCATTTACATCCACAATCGTTTGTTTCCTTATCTATTTCCCAAAATATCCAAAGTGTGCAAGTTAAAACTGTAAAATCTTTTAGTTCATGACAATTCTCTCTTGAATAACTAAAAGTTTTTAGAGGAAAATAGTTTTGTCCTTGCTTATAGGCTTAAGAGACTACTCATGCTTTGAGAGCTAAGGCCTCCGAAGTGAATGACAGTCCAAGCTAGCTAGTAGGCCAAGGATTATCCTCTATGAGTGCACTCCAAAATGAGTAATGCTTCGTCTTACTCAAGTTAAGACTCGAACATTGTTATAACTTATGTGGAGCCTAGTTTGTAATCATCATAGATATGTTAAGGCTACCCAACGATCCAACTCTCAAAGAATATCAAATGAACTCATAAGAACATGATCACACGTGGAGAATTTCACGTCCTTAAAAGGGTATGGTAATGACTGATATATATATAATTCTCTTATTCTTCCCGCAATAACCTATCAATGTAACAAAAGAATTGAAGAACTGAAAATACATAAAAATTAGCTTTCCTGGGTTGAAGCCCATATCCATCAGGTCTCGTGGGTCTGTAGGGCCCATCTACGCAGAAACTACCATGCTTCTGCAGCCAAGCTGACCTGTCGAACTGACTTTGCGAACTGGCTTGTCGAACTAGTATGCCCGTTTCACCTGATGACATGACCAATCAGGCTCTACAACCTAGCTCGGCTCCAAAGATCCTTGTGACTATAATAGCGCAAAAATTATTATTGACTTCACATATGCAACATTCTTATTTATGAGCCACCGACACAAACATCACCGTCTTTTCAACAAAACACCGCAAATAAATTTTGTATGTTATGAATTGTATTTTAATATTTTCTTGAATATGTATAAAAAGGGAGGGGAAAGACTGTAGATGGAATCAACTCTACGAGCCTCTTTCGGGGGATCTTATGCTGTGATTCTCACGGTGCCTCTCTTATCCCCTCTCCTTAGATCACCTTCTTCGCTCCGCCGGAGTAGGATCCAAAATTAGAACATATTCTTCAAGCCTGGTTAAAATAGATCAATCATCTTATTTAGCTTTCCTTACACAAATCTCTGTCGATTATGTGAGATCACGAACAATATGAGAGCCGACGTCCTAAATGAATGCAACAACTTCAAACATTATTATTGACAAAACTAGCACATATGATTTTTTTATTACCTAACTTGTCACAATCAAAACATTGAGAATTTGTTTGGGATATTTGAGGGAATTTCGATTTCTAACTGAGAATTTGAAAAATGAGATGACAACTGATGCTAGATTTATAAATAGAAATGTTTATAGTGCTATGTATACAATTTCATTTATTTTGTTAAATATTATAATAAAAAATAAAAACAAAATGGCTTAAATGAGTAGTACGCCAACTCCCACCAATGCACCGTTGATCGAGCGGCCACGGCATTAAAAAGCTCGCCACTTTTCCTGCCATCGTTTCATTTCGTTTTCTACGCAACGTCTTCACCTCTAGGACACTAGATCAACTGTGCGTTACTCTCTGTCTGTCTCTCTCTCTCTCTCTCTCTTCGCAATGGGACGGCGCAGGGGCACAAAGGGTCCGGTGGGGGCGGTGTACACCTGGGTTCGAGGTCAGTCGGTGAAGGCAAAGACAGCTCTTGGAGCTTTAGCCGCTTTGGTTGTTCTCGCCGCGCTGTGGGCGTTGGTCCACAACCACAACCACTTCTTCGTTGCCTCAGAGGCCGTGCACGCCGCCGGCATCATCGTCCTCATCTACAAGCTCTCTAGTCTGAAGACATGCTCCGGTGACCACCTCCTCTCTTCCCCTTCCTTTTTTCTTCCTTTTGCTTTCTTCTGTTGCGGCTGTCTCGCTCGGATTGATCGGAGTTTTTCTGCTGTGATTTTCGAATTTGTTGTTAGTATTTGATTCGGCCAGAAAGGGCTTGAGGGTTTTATTTGTTCAATTGGGCTTATGTGATTCTGGATTTTTAATCCTTGGATGGCTATTTGAGAGGAATTCGGGAAAGTGATTGTGAGAAAAAGTTTTTTTTTCTTCTCATGAATTGATGCGGTGGTTCATCTATGTTTGATATCTACATAAGAGAATCCATGCTATCTAATAGCTAATTAGAGGCTGCCCAAAATCATGGTTTTATGCGGCATATCTTATGGCACATTACGTATTGTAGAAATTACTGTTAACGTTGGATCTAGATTTGTGCATGGTGATATCAAAAGCCTATTTGCAAGACTTATAAGATCTCAAAGAATAGACAACAGAAAATAAAGAGAAGGTTGGAGGAGCACATGACAAGGGGAGATTTTAGAGAGAGAAGTTTAAACAACTCTGTCAATGTTTCAGCTGTTGTAGACAGAAGGTATACCTGAATGGTCCTTTCTGCAAACCCTAAGTGAAGGTAGCTTTGATGAATACAAGCTCCTGGTTCTTGACTTCCAGCATTTTTCTTTGAAATCTTATGATAAAAATTGTTGGCGGCTTGCAGAGCTCCTGTCTCATTTTCAAAAAGATTTACTAGCTCTATAATGGCTTAGGGGCAAATACATACATAACACACAATTCTAATGATTTTCTTATCTCACACCCAAAATTTCATATTTACATATATACCACTCAAATCTTTAGTATCATATCAAAGTTAGCACTAATACCACTTTTTAAAAGTGAAATACACCTTCTCATGTATAGGTTTAAAGCATCAAATTGTTGTCTATGTCAAATAAAAGTTTAGGTGTGAGATATGTAAGTACATAGGAATTATGTGCTAGGTATGTAAATTTCCCAATGATGGGTGGTGATGAATTGGGCGATGAACATTTTTTTGAACTTGGTGAAAGAGGTGATTATCCAAATGGAATCGTGTGAGAGCCATCCGATAGGTTATTTCTTGAATGTGATGAAAAATATATGGCGTTTCGGGGTGTAGCTGATGTTGAGCTACATGGTTGATAACTCAAACTACGCTACATGTTCAGCAAGGTCCATCATTCCGCTCAGGATTCTAGCTATGGTATATTGAAATTCATTGAATGTTTTGCTTTTGCAGTAGCATTTTTTTGGTTACATTCTTCCCCTCTTGACTCACTTGGATGGAGTGGATTCTTCATTATTGTTGGGTAGTAGATTTCATTAATAATTGGTGTATAGGTTAATGCTGTTGCGCCTGATGGTCTCCTTTTAATTAGAGAATCTGAAGAGCTTTTTGGCATTTTTAACCTATAAATGGTTTTGGGAGCTTATTCCAAAGCCCTCTTGATCATCCTCATAATTCTTTTCTCCATTTTTTGCAAGCTTTCTAATCATAAACTCCCGTTTTGGGAGCTTATTCCAAAGCCCTCTTGATCATCTTCATTTTTCCATTTTTTGCAAGCTTTCTAATCATAAACTCCCGGTTCTCTTTTGTGGTTCTCTATTGTCACGGATCTTTCTTTCTATGTTCTACTGCTTTACTTCTCGCATCACTTAGTTTTTGATTTGGAAATTTACATACATACCACTCCATTCCTATGTATGTACATATTTAACACCTAAAATTTAATTTTTACATACATACAACCTTAACTATGCATGAAAGTTGTATTTCACTTTTTAGAAGTCAAAAAGATGGTATTTTTAATGTGATATGAAAGATTTTGGTGGTATAAATGTAAAAAGTAAAGTTTGGGTGTTGGATATATAAATAGATAGGAATTTTGTGGTATGTATGTAAATGCCTCCACACCTATCGCACTTTTCAGGATCTATCCAGATTTATTAATGTTGATGTTAAAATTCTACTTGCAAGACTTACAATTGATTTTTGGCATTGCTCCACACCTATCACACTTTTCAGGATCTATCCAGATTTATTGATGTTGATGTTAAAATTCTACTTGCAAGACTTACAAGGCCTTCAAACCAAGGGAGAGGGACCCTGGTGAGTCAGTCCAGTTCTTGGCGAGTGCACTTTTGTCTCTGGTGAATCTGCCTTCTTATTTGTTGCCTTGAGCCGAATCTAACCTAACTGAATCGAGCTTTTGACATATTTGGATATATGATTAAATAAGATGTTACTTTCTTTGTCCGAAATCTGCCTTCTTAAATTTTTATTAGGGGCATTTACATTCATACGACACAATTCTTATGTATTAACATATCTAACACCAAAAATTTAATATTTACATTACAATCAAATCTTTAACGTCATATAAAACACTACTTAACTAACTTTTTGAATGTCAAATGCACCTTTTTATGCATAGGTTTATAGCACAAAGGTGTTAAAAATGTAAATATGGAACTTATGGTGTTAGGTATGTAAATCCATAAGAATTGCGTGGTATGTATGTAAATTTCCCTTTTTTATTTTCTTGTTCCACCGTCTTTCTTTTATTTTCCTTTTTCAGCAGACATCATCTTTGATTACAAAGCCTGTTCTCCTTTCTTTTTATGTTTTCTGTTGAATCCACTATTTTTTCTATGATATTGTTTTTTCTTGCAAACTACAGATCACAGTTTTGACGTATTAATTGTCTTCACCGTTTTGTAGGCCTTTCCTTAAAGTCTCAAGAGCTTACAGCAATATTTTTGGCTGTGAGGTTTTATTGCAGTGTCATCATTGAGAAGGATGTTCATACTGTTCTTGATCTGCTGACTTTATTTTCAACAATTTGGGTTATATACATGATGAGATTCAAGTTGAATTCAAGCTACACTAAGGAACTCGACAATATGCCTACATACTATTTGGTAAGACATTATTCTTCCGTAAGTTGTAGAAATATTGATTTACATACAACTCAATTCTTATGTATTTACATATGTAACACCTAAACTTCAACTTTTGCATGTGTCACTTTACCTAAGCATGAGAAGCTGTATTTCACTTTTTAAGAGTATAAATAGTGGTATTTTTTATGTGATGGAAACGATTTGGGTTGTACAAATATTAAAAAACAAAGTTTAGGTGTTAGATATGTATATGTATAGGAATTGGGTGGTAGGTATATAAATGCCCCGTTGTAGTAATTTCTATAGAGACTCTTGCCTCTTGGATTTGAGGCAGTTCTGTTTGATATAACTATCTTACCTGCTGTGCTTAAATATGCTTTTCTAATTGTTCTGTTTTATATCAGCCTATTGTTCTAATCCATTTTATTTTCTAATTGTGCTGTTTTATATCAGCCTATTGTTCTAATCCATTTTATCCTAATTTATAAAATTACCAAATATATATAAGCTAAATTAGGAAAGGAAATAATTTTGAAATAAAAAATAAAATAGTATAGAATGGGAAGTGAATAAACTAATCAAGAGTTTCTTAAATTGTCAAATTCTACAAGATCTTCTCAGATTTCCTCACGGATCTTTTCAAATTTCCTCTATCTTCTCAAATTTTCACTCTTCCTTAAGTTGGGTCATAAATATTGTAGAGACCAAGCTTGATATTGAATCTTGAGAAGGTGTTTATAGGAAGAGCTTTGGTGAATACATTAAAAACTTATTGGTATGTCGGGATGTAGTTTAGCTATATGATTCTCACATTAACTTTTTCAGAGATGAAATGTTTATCAATTTCAGTATGTTTGGTCTTGTCATGATACATAAATTCTTGACAATATTGATAGCTGCTTGAATATCACAAAATATTTGTATAGGTGTATTGGAGATACATCCCAATTTCCTAAACAATTTTTGAATCCATATCCCTTTACATATTCCCTTGGCGAGTGCCTCATACTATGATTCTGCACTGCTTTTAGAAACAACTGCTTGTTTCTTACTTCTATATGTTGCCAAATTTCTTCATACATAGGAGTAGTACAACCTGTGGCGGAACTTCTGTTAGTGAGTTCCCCACCCAACTAGCATCAATATAAACTTCCATCCCTGTATTCTTGATTTTCTCAAAAATTAATCCATAATCAGGAATCTTCTTGAGAAACCTCAAAATCCTGTACATCATCTCCAAATGCTCTTCGTTTGGGCTATTATTGTGTTCGCTCACAATACTGATAGAATATGTAATATCTGATTTCATACATGACAGATAGATGTGTTTTTCTACCAACCTTTGATATATTCCTTTATCCATAGAGACGCTTTTTTCTTCCCACTTTGACTTCTAGTTGAGATCCATTGGAATATCAGCAGTCTTACATCCAATCATGATGTATTCCCTCTGTGATATAATGTTACCTTTCTTAGAACTTGCTACTTCCATACCTAGAAAATATCTCATAGCTACTTGGTATTTGATTTTAAACTCCGAGGCAAGCACTTCTTTGAACTTGAGAATCTATCTTTTATCATCACCAGTAAGAATCATATCATCAATATATAATATCTATGCAACAATATTATTTCTATAAATATGTTTTACAAATAAAGTATGATTAGCTTGACTTTGAGAATACCCATTAGATCTCATAGTACAAACCTTTCAAATTTCAAACCATGCTCTTGGTGATTGCTTAAGCCTATAGAGAGACTTTCTCAGTTTCCAAACTAAGTGTCTGTTGGAATCATTCTCAAGTTCTGATAGTATCTCCATATACACTTCATTCAGATCTCCATTTAGGAATGCATTTTTTATTGCAAAGTTGATGCAATCCCCATTCCTTATTCATTGCTACTGAAAGAAAAATTGTCAGTGTTAAATTTGACAACCGGTGTTAAGGTCTCCTGATAGTCGATCCCATAAGCTTGAGCGAAACCTTTTGCAGCAAGTCTAGTTTGAAATATCTCACTACCCCCATTAGTTTTGTATTTGATATTGAACACTCATTTACATTCTACAAACTTTTTATCTTGAGAGAGTTTAGTAAGAATTCATGTAACATTATGTTTTAGTGCCCGAATCTCATCTTGAATTGCTTTCCACAATTCTGAAGTTTTAAGAGCTTCATGAATGGATTTAGGAATCTGCATATTATCAAGGTTAGAAATAAAAGTTTTGTGGGATGAGCATAGCTTCTCATGAGCTACATACTCCTAAATTGTATATATAATGTAACTTTTCTTGTCACCAACATCAGAAGAGGAATGGGATAACTCATAAGTACTAGACTTCTTACCCAAAATTTTAGGTAAATGCATACTCGAGTTTTGGTTTGAGCAGTTCAGTCCTTGCAAGTTGCCTTCCACTTGCTCAAGGTTTTTTGTTCTTTTTTGTGTACGCACGAAGTTCTTTGTTATGGACTTTATGTTCGATTTTTTGGGTTTGTTGGACATCTTCAACTAAGATAGGAGAGCTAGATGGAGTAGGTGGTGAGACTGTGTAGGTGTTTTCTAGGGTTGTCAAAACGGCTCGTTGTTCACAAACAACTCGTGTTCGGCTCGTTAAGAAGTTCGTGTTTGGCTCATTCGTTGAGTTAATGAGTCGAACACGAACAAAGGTTTGTTCGTTCGTGTTCGGCTCGTTTTGGTTCGAAATACTACTAATCAATTCTATATATATCTTTAATGAGTAGTAGTTCTAAAAAAAAAATATACAGTTACAATGTGTGGGAGGGCCCAAGCATGACACCATGTCCACACAAAAAAACACAAAAGGTTTCAAAACTAGAAAAAAAACAGAAAATACATTAGATACTAAAATAAAAAGCCTAACAGTGCCGAAATACATAGTATCAGGTGGCTAGAGAGCGACCCAACTTGGTCTAGCCTCTGACTCTGGCTCTAGAGAAGGAGCAAACTAATAAGTTGGTAAGATGATTGTCATTCATAGTAGTAACCAATGTATATTCAATATGTTCCCTAGCTGGAGTCGACCTCCATTCTTCTTCTTCCTCCTGGCATAGACTTGTTTCCTCTTCCGAAGATTGATTCACCTGATCTTGGTCTAACGTGTGTTGGAGATATGCAGATTGTTAAACATTAGAAGCAACAACATGTTGTACCGGTTGATCTGTTATTAGATCAAAGGAGCACTCTCGTGTGTCTTGGCATGTGAGTGAGTCTTTTTCAATAACAGTGAGTGATATAAGCACAACTGGATCTGTAGCTGTAGTATGTTGTTCTTTTTCAGGAACTGCGGTGTTGGGAAGAGGATCGGGTTGAGTCTTCTTTGCATCTTCTCAACAAAGATAATATGTGGTTGTTCTTTAGTGATATTCAGCCTTAGATGAAGATGCAAACGATAGCGAATAGTAGCGGCCAGAGGTCTTCCTCAGTGCAGATTCCAGCTTTGTCCTACTAAACTTGTAGAGGGACTAGTCCCTGCAAGCTCCGAGGATGGATGGGTACGCCTCGATTATCTCAAATAACAAAAAAGCCACAGAGGGTCTGGTGACAGCAAGCGTAGGACTATCAACTCTGAGAGGCTTACCGTAAGCAGTTGCTAAGGAGTAAAAAATTTTCAAGTTGAACAGATGTAATTTTAACCCCGGAAATTTTATCCAAACTGGAATGATAGGAGACTCCGCTTTTGGGTCGACCACTTCAGAATTTTCATGTAACGGTTGTTGATTATATAACAGTGTCAATCTTGACAACTTTCCGAGAAAAAATGCGGGTATAATCAACATCATGAGATAACTGAATCAGTATGTGTCGACCGTCGAGTAAACCAATATTTCAACTACTCAATAGCTTCATAGTCTCAAACTCTTTCCGAATGATCTCCAATTTTGGGTTACCATCAAGAAATTTTCCCACTAGAGCAAAACGCTAAGAGGACATGAGAGTACTAGTTTCAACATTCGTGAGAATAAGAGTAGGCTTCCCATTTTTTTTCCTCAATCTTTTTATGAAGGTGTGATCACCACCTTCAAGAACATCGTGAAAAGATTGAGAAAAATTGCAAGTTTTGCCTATACGAAAACCAGTCACTGATTCTGAAAGAGGAGCACGAGTATGAATCGAGAGGTCGCCGACAAGTGCAGTAGCATAGGAACGGATAGCCATCTCTGCCGACAAGATTATGTCGGACAGGAAGCGAAGAGACGTCATTTGAAAGGAAATGCAAAAACGCGAGCAGAGCAGTGCGACAAAATGATATATATATATATATATATATAATTGATGAGTAGTATTTCTAAAAAAATTAATTATGTACAAGGCTACGAAGATTTATAATCAATTAAAATTACTAGTTAAGAAATAGAATAAAAATTATTAGATTAGATTCAAATAATGTTTTAATATAAACAATAATTTTTAAATCTTGCCCAAATTCTTAACATCTTATGCCTACGTTATTAGAGTTGTGAAAACGACTCTTAGTTCTTGAACGACTCGTGTTCGGTTCTTTAAGCAAACGTGCCGAACACAAACACACTTTTTGAGCTTGAAATATAAATGAGCCGAACACGAGCTGAGCCCAGAGCCTAGTGTTTTCAAGTGCATTCCAAAATTGATGTTCATTTGCACTTTCCCTTTGAATATTAGATTTGGGGCAGTAGGATTGATTTTAAAAAATGTGGCATCCATGGAATTGTAGTATTTTTTGGAAGCAGAAGGCTTGCAATTATACTCAGAATGTAAATAGCTGCAAGAATGTATATATGATATTGCAGAATTTGGAAAATAAAGAAGGGTTGGAGATCATACATATGTGATACTCATGAGTATCAATAAAAAATGCAGGTGATTTATGCTATGGAAGAAAAAAATATATGTTATTTACTAGTTAAATAGTAATAACCCCTATCTCTTTTTTTTCCTAGCCCACTGCATTTAGATCGATTTCTCATATAAGTCTTTTTTCTATTTTATCTTTGATTGTGAATTGAATGATAGAGAAAAAATAGAATAATTTATAAACAATGAAACAGAATGACTAAAACTGTATACATATTTATTTACATTAGCTAGAAAGGAAAAACAATCTATCAAAGTAGTTTTGACAATTCAGTAATATTCTGAATTCCATTAGAAACTCTTAGCTACTTCGACTCGATAGATTTTAGTGAAAAAGATAAAAATAAAGTTTAGTAAGGTAAAATAATAAAAGTAGAAGTAGAAATTAAACTCGAAACTTCCAGCGGATGGGCAGTGCCCCACGAAAACAAAAGAATCAATTATATTTTTCATATGCTCTCCCCTTAGATATAAGACTAACAAAGAAAAGAGTTCTTTTTGTATCACACCGCTTATTATTATTAATGGAAAAATTGCGGGTCAAGTTTTCTGCAATTTTGGGAATCATCTTGAACAAAGTATACACACCCAAATATTTTAATTGGAATAATAAAATAGAAAGCTCTGATGTGAGGATAAATAACCATCAAAATATGAAGAGATGTTTTGAAGTTTAGTATCTAACTATGCATTCGATTGATAAAGTATGTTGCAGTAAAACGGCTTTGCCCTAGAATGTTTATGAGCTTGATTGGACATCGTAGTCGGGGAGATGTATGTTTTTTCTCACAGCTATCTCATTTTATTGTGGGATATCAATTCATGAACTCACATGGATGATTCATTGTTTTGAAAAATAGGACCTAAGGATGGAGTTGAAATATTTCTTTGCATTATTAGTTTTGAGGATCTAAATTTAATTTTGCATTGAGAAATTGAGTTTGAATCATATCATGGAAGTTTGGAAGAATTGAGCTATTTCAAATTTCTTCTTCACTAGGAATACTCAGGTAGTTCTAGTATGATCTTCAATAAATGAAATAAACCATCTGACCTGACTTTGGGTTTTCACATTTGAAGGTCCTCAAATATCATTGTGGATAATGACAAAAGGGTGTAAGGATTTGTACTGGGTTTGAGGATAGCTATTTTTAGTGTATTTGGCAATTTGATAAATCTCACATTGATAAAAGTTAGGTTTTTATTGATAAACAAATGAAGATACGCCTTAGCAATATAATTGAAATTAAGATTATTTAGGCGACAATGCCATAACAAGACTTGATTTTCAATAGACATGAACTCAACAAAAAATATAGATGAGATCATTTGTGTATTTAGAGAGATTTTTCTTGAGTAGGTATAGTCTTTGATGTATTTTAACACTACCAATCACCTTCCCCAAATCCACCGTCTGAAATTCACAAAAACTAGAATGGAATTTAGTAAAAACATTTCAGGTCATGAGTAATGTTGCTAATAGAAAGTATGTTGCAATTTAATTTGGGAACATATAGCACTGAAGAAACTGAATATCTTCGGAGACTTTCACATCTCCTTTCTCAACGATCCTACAATCCTAGAGTGAGATACATCAGCAAGTTAAACATATTGGGGTTGGTGATCTCTTGTTTATTGATGAGAGCATGAATGTCCTCAGTGTTGACAATAAAATAATTCGACCTTGGATGATAGATTGAAATAAATCTCTTGATGATAGACTGAAGTATCATATTTCAGCACTTCAATCTCTTATACAGGGATGCAAGGTAGGACCCAAGGATGCATATATTTTACATTGATAATAGATTGAAGTATCATATCCTCCTATCTTGTTAACAATAAAAGAATTTGACCTTGGATAATAGATTGAAATAATTCTCATGATTTATTCACATGTAGGGTACATATATATGGGGAAGACAATCCTCCTAATTTATAAACTTACGAAATATATCTAACCTAATTAGGAAAGGAAATAATTCTGAAATAAAAAAATTAAACAGATAGAATTGGAAGGGAATAAACTATCAAAAGTTTCTTATGTTTGTCCCAATCAAATCCTCGAAGATCTTCTCAGTTTTCCACAGATATGTACACTGATGAACCCCTGTTGTATATGAGCATTCTATTCACAAATAACTTGGATCAAAATGAAAGTTGGAGCCAAATAGGATCTTTTTATATTGAGCATGAGTATTTACTAGTCTTGGAAGTTGTTGCCAAGGTCTTGGGCTCAATCCTTGCCAATATAATAATTAACTCCCACTTTACGAACTTTTAGGTGTGAAAAAAAAAAGCTTTTACATATATGCCACACTATACTTATCTATTTACATACCTACCACCTAAGCATTCATATTTACATGCATGCCATCCAAATCTTCAACCTCACATAAAAAATATCACCACCACCATCTTTTTTAGAATTGAAATACATTTTTTTCATGTATAGGTTTTTGACACAAAAACGTTATAAGGGTACAAAATCAAACCTTGTTTGTTACACATGTAAATACATAAGAATTTTGTGGTATGTATGCAAATTTCCTAAAAAAGATTTTACATTGATAACCCATTGTAGCATTACTTTAATTTGACAACAAGATTTCCCTTCCTTTCATGTTCCTCATATTGAGCCTCTTCTAATCTTTGATTGCCTATTCTTTCAGGAACTACCATTCTATAACCTTGTTTATGAAGAAAAGAAAATTTGGAAATAAAGTTTTCTGCAATTCAAACCTTGCTATTATAAATAGTTTCTTCCAATTTACAATTGAAAGATTTATATATATATCACTTAATTCCAATGTATTCACATATCCAACACCTAAACTCCAATTTTTTCATATTTGCTGCTTTAACTATGCAAGAAAATATGTATTTCACTTTTTAAAATTTAAAATAGCAGTAATATTTACATGATATGAAAGATTTGGATGATAAAAATGTAAAAAAAAAAAGCAAAGTTTATGTGTTAGATATGTAAATACATAAGAATTGGGTGGTATATGCAATGGCCCTGTACATTTTTAAATTTCAAATGGTTTTCACGTCTTCTTGCAGTTGGTTCCATCTATTGTGCTTGCCATATTTGTCCACCCTTTCCTGTATAAGCACCACAGCAGATTTCTTTGGGCCTTTTCTGTGTACCTGGAATCTGTGTCTGTGCTTCCTCAACTCAGATTGATGCAAAATGCAAAGGTTAGATGGTCTTTTTGCTCTAATTTGACTGCATTGATTCCAATGATAACGCAGGAATTAAAATTTTAAGGTACATTTTGCAGATGGTGGAGCCTTTTACAGCCCATTATGTATTTGCCCTGGGCGTTGCTAGATTCTTGAATTCTGCTCATTGGATAATTAAGGTACATTCTTTCTTTTGGTGGCATTTACATACATACCATCCAATTCTTATCTATTTACATACCAAACACCTAGATTTTATTTTTACATTTTTACCATGTAAATCTTTCATATCACATAAAAAAAAGACCATTAAAACTTTTAAAAAGTGAAATACGCCTTTTTCATGCACAAGTAACGTGTGTTTGTATGCAAATATGAAATTTTAGGTGTGAGATATGTGAATTCATAAGAATTGTGTTCTACATATTGAAATTTCCCCATTTTTTTCTTGTTTAGGTGGCGAATGTTCCGTAATGCTATATGATAATAGCTAAACAAGTTTTACTTGGTTTTTAAACTTGATTATATATTGTTTTCAGTTTGCATTGTCTACTTGATTTTCCTGGATTGTTTGGAAGCTTTTATGCTATAGTATTTTATGGTGAACATAGGGTGTAAACGAGTTGAGCCAAGCTCAAGCCACCCCAGAGTTGAGCTTGCTTAATTTAATTGAGTTCATGCTTCAGCTCGAGCTTAGTTCTACAAGTTCTAGTTGGCTTACAATCAGGCTCTTTTTTTATGAAAAAGAAAAAAATAATTTTGATTCAAAATGCTATTATTATAAAATAATAAAAAGAGAATGATCTATTTGAGGGGAAATGATAAAAAATACTTAATTTACTAAAATAAAGTGTAATTTTTAAATATTTTTAATGATTTGTGCTCACACTTTTGATTTTTAATATATTTTAAGTGTATTTTATATTAATATTTTTTTAGAAGGAACCAGTACGTGAGCTAACGACTCGAAATTGGATTAGCTCAAGTTTGGCTTGTTAGCTTATTGAGTTCAGCTCGTGGGTATTTATTGAGTCGAACCCAAGCTTGAACCAGCTCGCAAGTTGGTTTGGCTGATGTGCATCCCTAATTTGAATGTAGAAGTTTATTTTCATCATCATTAGTATATTTTTCTCACCTTTTTATGCTGTAGAGAGTCATGAGGGTTCTGTGCATCAATTATCAATCTTTATTTTCTATTCTTGTTGAGAAGCATACATGTCTGGTGCCTTAGTCGTTCAATTTTTTCTACCCCATGTAATTTGTGAGCTTTTGCAGCCATTAATTAATAAATAGGAAGATTTACATGCATCCTACTCAATTCTCATGTATTTACATATCTTACGCCTAAACTTCAACTTTTACATTTATATCCCATCCTGACTAATTGCATGAAAAGGTGTATTTTACTTTTAAAAGTTAAAATAGTGGTATTTTTAATGTGAAATGAAAGATTTGGGTGGTATAAATGAATGCGAATAAAGTCAAGTCTTAGATATGTGAATACATAACAATTAGGTGGTACATATGTAAATGCCCCTAATAAATATGAATTTTTTGAATTCCAAGAGAAAACTGATCCAGATCTTATAATATTTCTATGAGGCTAACAGTGTATATGAAATTATGATTGATAGGTTGTTGATACCGGTGGATCTTTCCTGACTGGCTCATCATCTGCGGTTTTCTGGACTCCGGCCGTCCTCATTGCAGAACTCGTTCAGACACTAATCTTGGCTGATTTTTGCTACTACTATATTAAGAGGTGTGTAAAGTGCCAAAATAGTCTCCTCATTATTTACATGACGTCACTTTAGTTCTAGAGTCTAGAAAAGTGTTAAATTAGTCGTCAGACAAGTTAAATTGAGTTTGAAATAGATATTGCTTGATTTCTGCTGCTACTAAATTAAGAGATGTAAAGTGTCAATATAGTCTTCTGATTGTTTACATGAGATCATTTTAGTCCTAGAGTATAAAAGTGTCAAATTAGTCCCCAGACTTTTTAAATTGAAATTGAAATCGTCTTCTATGGGAACTATTTCAGCCTATTTTAAAGAAGACACTGGACTAAATCGACACTTTTATAAATTTTGAGATTAAAATAACTCTCTACAAAAAATGAGGGGACTATTTCGACACTTTTTGTCGTGAAGAGTTTGAATGTTTTGCTCTAGCTTGGTTTAACTCCCTGTTCTTGTGTTTGCAGCGCCATGCTTGGCCAACTGATGCGATTGCCTTCAGCACATGGAATGAGAGATATCTAACTAGATGAATGTTAGTACCTTAGGTAATACGTAAAATGAGGATTCTTTAGTTGATGGTCATGTATATATATATATATATATATATAGATTGTTTGCAGGAAGAATCCTGCATGAATTCACTTGACTTATCATGTAAAATGGATGCCGTTTTCTTTAGCAGGATGTTCTGAATGATTTTTACTTCCTGCTATTTCTGATCCGTTTTCTTGGCTCTAGTTCGCAGGGTTCTCTGCGCAGCACTATTTATTGTTAAGAGCCTGTTCTTATTTTCGTTTTTAATTTAAGTGGCTACAGTTGCTAGTATTGCAACTTCTGCCACCTAATATCTATGCTAAGTAATTTCTTATAAAGATTGTCTGAAGAAACTTCTTGTCATTGTTGATTGCTCGAGCTTGAGCGAGCTCAGGCTTGGCTCATATTTTGCTCATTCAAAATTAATTTTATTTCATATTAATTCGTGTTTGTGTTCGAAATTTCTAGAGAATAATGTTTGTTTTTTATTCAATTAATATATTCTTGGTTGTAACCGACTTAAACTTTTCTTATCTAAATCAATTAAAAAAATAGGCGAGGTTGTTAGATTTGAACTTGTACCATTCCTAGAGCTTTTTGTTTATATGTGGGTAATTTGCTCTTTTTCCTCTCCTTGAAATATCACTTTTGACCCTTCTAAAATATCATTTTATTTTTCGTTGCCTTAGCCCTTTCCATGTTGGGTCTAGAGGGATAATTTGCCCCCTTTAAAAAGAAGTTTCAGCCTCTGGTTTCATTTGATATATATATATATATATATATATATATTTTGTTTATTTCGACTTGAAACAAACCGAATAAATATCAAGTTAAAGCGAGCCGAGCACGAGTTATTTGTTGTTTTCAATACGTTTATTACTTGAGCATAAACACTGTCCATGCTAGACTCACTTATTTAGTGAATGATTGAATATGATCTAGTTAACAAGCTGAATACAGGTTATTTGCAGGCAATAAGCTTATTTTACACACCTAATTGTTGACGGTTAGAGAGAGAGAGAGAAGAAAGCAAGGCTGATGAATTCAGGAGACCAGACCTTTGACCCTCTATATTTCCAAGCATTTATTTATTTTTAAGCTAATTATAATACTCAGTAAATTGCTTCTTTTTAAGCTAATTATTTATAAACATGCTCTTGTTTTGCTTATTTAAATGAAAATATAATACTCAGTAAATTGCTCAGTAAAATCATAACCCAATATGAGACAATTTTTTAATGAATAAAATAAATATATAATAAGATGAATATGATAGAATCATTCTATTTGAAATCCAAATAGTAAATTATATCTATATAATAATGGGCTTAATACAATCAAGCAAAATTCATTTAAAACCAAATTTAAGATGTGTAGAGCTCACGTAATGAACAAATTAAACATAAAATGTTTGGACAAATAGAACACGAGTTACTCATGACCCATAGATTTTTTATTTTCTATGTATTTTGTAATGCCCTTGGTCGCATCTAAGCTCCAGCTGGTAATCATCTTTTGTTGATTTGCTCTTAAGAATCTAACATCCCAAGCTTAATAATCATTCATGATTTTACAATGCTAAACAAGAAATGTGGAAAAGGGTATTCATGTATATGAACATTTCATCCTTTATTTTCAACAGGTGAATTTTAGGAAAATTTGCATGCCACACAATTCGTATGCATTCACACATCTAATATTTAAACTTTACACGCATGACCATATAAAAGTTGTGTATGTGAACTACCATTAAACTATTAACAAACATGACAAACAGATCAAAAACTGCAAGTCCTAACTGAAACTCATTATAGTAACCAATTGTTTCTTTTAAGGTTGGAAGAAAATGCAAATCCTGCAATGTGCATGGGGAATGAAGGACCTGGACAAACAACAACACAATACTACAAATTTTAAGCCTATCTACTTTTATGGGCAAAACAAACGAATCTGTAAAAAAAAATTTTAAAAAAAAAGAAAAAAAAAGTGTGTATTCTACAAGACCATGTAATCATGTTCCTAATACCTCCCTAAACAACAAAAATGAAATTGCATAAAAGCCGATCAAATATAGAACTCTACTATCTCAACACTACAGCCTTTCTCAAAGAGCTCAGCTCAATCATGAAAATCAAGGTTCACTAACCTTGACGGTTCGTAACCACGTTTAAGCAACACTCATCCGCTGTTGGAGTTGGTGTGGTCCACCCGCTGATATCCCACTTCGCCTCGACTGGAAGGAAGGTTGCCTCGGCCACCCCTGCTTATGAAATCAGACCGGTGAGTGTAATCTCCTCTTCCATAACCTCTTCCACCAACGTAGCTGCCACGACGACTTAATCCATCGTTACGATAACCTCCCCCTCTACCAGGTGGAAACCTCCCTCGGTTATTAACTGCAGATAGAAAGCTTCAGATGAATCAAGTAGAATGAGCAGAGAGGAAAGGAGGAATGCGTAAATCGAAAAAATGTCGAGAAATATCATTATAATGAGCTGAAATGTCAATGGATTGGTCTTTTTTTTTATTTATTTACACTGGAAGGCGACAAGAAAACACAGACATCAGCATGCAATAAGAATTGCTTGAGGGAAATTGAGCGGGTAGGGTCAGCAAACAAGAATGAGGGAAAAAATATTAGGGGCTTCTACATACATTCCACAGAATTCTTATACATTTACATATTTAACAGCTAAACTTTTCTATTTACACGCACAACACTCAAAATTTAAACATCACAACAAAAATACTATCATCGCTACCTTTTTAAAAATGAAATACACCTTTTCATGCATAGGTTTATGATACCAAGGTGTTAAAAATGTAAACATCAAACTTTGGGTATACCCTAATACATAAGAATTGTGTGGCATGCATGTAAATTTCCCAAAATATTATTTGATGCTCAAATGATTGTTGCATGAAACCTGTCAGGTGCTATAAAACTAACTAAAATCTTGTCTTGAGAAAATGAGCACCTAAAATAAGGGATGTCAACTAAATTCTTAACTCTAATTCGCGGATCAATCATACCTCGTGAGCTAGTTGCACGCTTCTCCTCGACATAAGCCTGGCGACCGCCGATAGGTATGGGTGAAGCCTATAAAGACGAAATATATATGAGATTTCAGAGGCCAATTATCTTAAAATGAAGATGCTTGTGAAGTAAAAAAGTTCAAGTAAAATTTCTTGTTGTGATGCTCTTAAATTACACATTTTTAAGAAAGATATGATTTATGGAAACTTTTATATCACTTGCCTGCCCGTCTCAGAAACACTTGAAAAGCAGGAATAACAAATCTCTATTTTATATTATTGATAACATCCGAACTCTTATTTAGGACCCCCTCCGAAAATAAGAGACATGAAAATAAGAGTTCGTGGAAATAAACAAAATTTTCAATGAAAATGCTATAATGCCAAGTCATAATCTTCCATTATCATTTACGCAAGCTCTCCAAGTCCTCCTTATGTTCTAACTTCTAAAGGTTGGTTTGCAAATAATACCCATGCAAAGGCAAATGCATTCAAAGCACAGAGTTTAAAATATTTTTCCATTTTAGAAGCTTTGTGGAATACCAAAAATTCACAGCTACAAAACGGCACAGCTCATGTCTTGTCAACCATAAATCTTCATTGAGGAGCGTTAATGTACATTTATTTATTTATTTTAATTTGAGGCACTAAAAACTAACCAGTAAGCAGTCACCAAAGTAAAGAAACCGATCAGATTCACAATAAGAGCACAGAAATTTAAAAAACGATCTTGTCCATCATCATATTGACAGAGTCCTGGAAAATCTCAGAGAAAAACATATTTCAGGAGAGACATGAACTCAAGTCACTAAAACAAAAGCTTATCCTTGATAAGCACAGCTGTGTAAGTACGAAACTTCCAGGCTAACAGCCATATGATCTCTAATTTAATACAGAAAAAATTCTCTTAGCCTCAGATATTTGGTAGTTTACCAAGCCAATTCTCAAAGTTTGCACATCTTTTATAAAGCATTGACAGGTGGATTAGTTCTAAAAAGTTTGAACAATCATGTTAAGCCTCAATTTAGTTACTTGGTAGAAACTGGGGTATCATATTGAGCAGCAGATTCAAAGGTAAAACACAATCTTCCAGCATTTGGATTAGTTCTAAAAAGTTTGAACAATCATGTTAAGCCTCAATTTAGTTACTTGGTAGAAACTGGGGTATCATATTGAGCAGCAGATTCAAAGGTAAAACACAATCTTCCAGCATTTCATTTCCTTGGTCCAAAGTTCATATCTTGCAAATAGAGCCCGGAAGAAAATGGCTCAAATGAAAATGGATCGATAAATATGTTACAATCTTCTCAACAGAAAACACAGAAAAAAAAAAAGAAATAAAAAAAGATGAATTAGAAGTTGAAGGAGAGTATCTCTAAGATATATACTGGAAATTTGGGGGATAGCGATTTGCTGTTTCTTCTTTTCAAAGTTTCATTTGGATAATTTTAGAAAAAAAATACATTTTACATAGAAAAAACCATGCTATCACAGCACAGATCTGACATGTTCAGTTCCATTTAAAAACCTACCCAGCTGCTTTTCAATAAAATCTGTAGAGCAGAAGTCAGTTTGGTAAATGTTCAAAATGACGATGATGATTATGAAAGCATCATTCTTATGAGTCGCACAATAAGAATATGGAAGAGTACCAAAAATTTGACTTTGAAAATTTACATAGTTTTGAAAAATCAACTTGACTTAATACTAGGAATAGCTAATATGGAAACAATTTTTGTGCAATAATGCTAGAAAAAAGATCTTCATGCAATATTTATGAAGCTTGTAAGATATCCATTGGAGTACCAAGAGTGCTGATTTAATGTGCATCAAAGCAGTATATGTCAAAAAAAGGTTGACTTTAATAAAGACATATATGACAAACCAAATAAATATTAGAAATTTTTGTGGAGTAATAAAAGAATTTCAAATATCAACATTAATGACATATCTTTTTATATTAGTCATGGAGATTCTTACAAAAGACATTTAAAATTAAAAAATTTAGGGTTTGTATTTCGTCAAAAAGGACATAGCTCTAATTTAAAAGACAACTACTAGAAATAATAAAAGCTAGAATAATAGAAAAAAATATTTAGAAAATTAAATATTTTTTATTTATTTAGAAGATAGAGAATTTAATTAGTACAACAAAAATTTAGTGTATGATATCAAATTTTAGTGAGTGTGATGTAAGAAATTATCATTCAATATTATCAAATAATAGTGTAATCGGGTGCGATGAATTTAAGAATCTTGGATCTGATATATAAAAGGAGAGAATGCAACTTCTAGAGTTTAGGCTAAACAAATAAAAAATGTGTTGCGGAAGTATGATGGTGATATGAGGATACCATAAAGATTCAAATTAAATTTCTAAACTTACAATTAGACTTTTTATTTTATATAAATCCGATAAATGAAAAATAAAAAGATTATTGATATCTAAGTTGAGTATAATAACTATAAGAATGCCAAAAAGATCTTGTAATAAAACTACAAAAACTAAATTAATTAATAAATATACTAACAAGTACAAAAAATATTGCCTATCAAAAATAGGGCGGTGATACAGAATCGGGTAATTTGGACAAGCACAACAACATCATCAACAACAACAAAGCCTTAATCCCACTACATGGGGTCGGCTACATGAATCATTTTCTCCATTGCATCATATTTAGTGTCATATTATAGAAAATGCACCTATAAAATGAGTAAATAAATTAGTGTCAAATAATTAAGAAAGAAGAGGCAGGCCTAAGATAACACAATAGAAATTGCTCAAAAGAAAAAAAGATTTCTTTAACAAATACAACAACAAGGACAAGCATTTAATTCTAATAAATTAATATTATCTTTTATACAACATGTCCAAGTCTTTTTAGGTTTACCTCTACACTTCTTAACATAAGTCCAACCTAAAACATCTACTCTCCTAACTCGATAATCAGATAGTCAATGTTTAATGTGATCAAACCATTTAAGACCACTCTCTCTAACCTTGTCGGCCACTGGAGCTACACCAACCCTTTGATAGATACATTCGGTTTGCATTGTCTCTAAGTGTCAAGGTCGCTCATCCACCTAAGCATTCTCATCTCATTAACACTTAATTTAGCTTTATGTTCTCTTTTAAAGGCAAAAATTCTGCGTCATAAGTCATTGCAGGCCTCGCCACCATCTTATTAAATTTTCCTTTAAATCTAAGCTGTACTTTTCTATCACACAATAGGTTCAATGCATTCCTTCACTTCAACCAACCAACTTGAATTCTACTAGTAACATCCCCATATATATATCAACATCACTTTGAATAACATACCCAAAATATCTAAAACAATCACACCTTTTAATGATTCGATCACTCATAGTTACAACTTTGCCACTAGATCTACTACTATTAAAATTACATTCCATGCATTCAATTTCAGATCTACCAAAACAAAGGCCTTTAAACTCCAATGTACACCTTGATAATTCAAGTTTTTCCTGAACTCTTTCTTTTGTCTTACCCACAAGAAGAATATCATTAGTGAAAAGCATACACCAACGTACATCCTCCTGTAAATGTCCAATAAGACTATCCATAACTAGAGCAAAAAGATATGGGCTTAAAGCAGATCCCTAATATAATTTAATTGAAATCGGAAAATACTTGGTCAATCCTCCTGCTATAACACAAGTAACAACTCTAGTATCTATATCTTTAATGACTTGAAAATAAGTCATATCAACCCTTTCTTTTCTAAAACTCTCCAAAGAACTTCTCTCAAAACCCTATCATAAACAATTTCTAAATTAATAAAAATCATATATACATTCTTCTTACTCTCTTTGTACTTCTTCATCAAACCTCTCAATAATGTATAGCTTTCATGGTAGATTTACCCGACATAAATCAAAACTGATTAAAAGAATTATTTGAATCACGTCCTAACCTAAGTTTAATTATTCTTTCCCATAATTTTAATATATGAATCGTTCGTTTAATTCATCTATAATTTGCACACTCTTGTGTAACACATTTATTCTAAAAAATGGGAACCAAAATACCGTCACCCACCGTGCAACACATTTATTCTCAAAAATGGGAACCAAAATACTTGGCATCTGCTCCTTAGGCTTCTTTTTAGTTTTTAAAATAATATCATCAAGTCCTACTGATTTTCCATCTTTCGGTTTCCTTAAAATATCAACTTCATTTTTACTAATGCGACAATCAAAAGAATTTTTTTATTATTATTAACGATATTAAGATCACTAAGATTAATCATATTTTCAGAAACTTCCTTAAAAAGTTTATCAAAATATCTCACCCACCTATGATGAATATCTTCCTCCAAGTAAAACATTTTTTGCTTTTTATCTATATTTTTTACTTGAATAAAATCTTTATTTTTCTTTTCTCTTTGTTTGGCTAGCTTATACATATATTTTTTTTACCCTTTTTAGTATCTAATCTATTATAAAAATCGTTACTATCTAATAAATTATAAAGATCACTAAACCATAATTCATGGCGTCACAAATTGTTTCCTTAGACTCCTCTATAGGCCCACCTTATATTATTCCCAGTTCTCTAAGTATTTACATTTAAAACAATTTTTATCACAAATATAAGTGTATCTTTTCTTGTACATTATTATTCTACCATTAACTATTGTTACTTAAAAAAACTTCATTTTGATTCTCCAAGTCATTTTCTGTCACTTGTTTAATAGAGCTTGTTATTGTATTCCGCATAGAATTAGCTTCTTCCTGAGCCTCCCAAATCTTGAAATCTTGAAGTTAACTATTAAAAATTATTTTATTTGTCTTTTAGATACCCCCATTAATTCTAAGACAATGTTTCGTTGTACTTTATTTCTTACAAATTCTCATCTAAAAATCCAGAACTAATAATCCATGATGAATACTTAAATTTTCACTTTGAATGAACTTATAATCTTTAAATTATCGAAAATCTCTTTTTCTCATAAGAAAAAAATCAACTTGTGTTTTATTAGATCCATTCTTATAAGTATTATTATGCTCGTCTCTCTTTTTTAAATAAAATATTAACAATAACAAAATCATAAGCTAAAACAAAATCTAATATGGTTCTAGCTTCTTCATTGATCACTCCAAAAACTTTAGCCACCATAAACATTTTTAAGATCTTCTATCACTTTACTTACATGTTAGTTTAAATCTCTTTCAGTAAAAATTCTTTCAAGAGGTATTATTTATATTAATTCTTCTAAGTCATTCATTTTTTTATTTTTGAACCTATATCTAAACCTTCTTGAGAAGAATAAGCACCAACATTAAAAATCTTAGTATCAACAATAATCTTTAGGATTATAATTCTTTCTCTAATTCTATTAATTTTTACAATATTATCTTTCAAACTTTTATCTAAAATTATACATATACCATTTCTAGTATGACTCCTACCTGAATACCAAAATTTAAAACATAAGCTATCAATCTCCTTGGCCTTTTCTACAACACACTAAGTATCTTGAATGCATAAAATATTTATCTTCCTATGAACCATAATATCTACTAATTACATTAATTTACATGTGAGAGAACATATATTTAAAGATTCTATACTAATATTAATTTTTGGACTAAAGTTTATGCTTGCATCCGTCTATAATGTGGGAACCCTTGTTTATTTGACACTACACCCGGACGTTGATGTAGCGACCCTTGCACACTTTACTATATTCAAGTCATACAATGTGTCGATTTCAGTGGGGGCCCTAACACTTGTACAATGATTTAAAAGATTCATGTCATGATTCTCGACAAAAACTTTATATTGGTTGTTAACTATCTAATGCAACCCTCCTTAAGAAAACAAAAGAAAAATGAAAATTTTATAACACAACCCTCTTAAAAAAATAAAAGAAAATAAAAATTCATAAAATTAACCCTAAATAATTGTGATAAAGTTGATAATGATGGATGTAAATTTAATTTGCTCAAAATTATATGACTTTGACCATTGTTCATCCAACATAACAATAAATTGAACAGTATGCTTACAAATTTTCCTCCTCTTAAAATCAATGCTATGGTACAAGAATTTTGTTCAAGCGGCCAACATCCTAAACTCAATGGGCAGTAACGTTTCATAAGGATTCACATTTTTACTGTAAAAGTACTTCATCAATCCTAAATAATGTAATGTTATCAAAGGCCTTGAATCAAGACATACTAGTTCCGACAGCAAATTTGATTGGGGATGAAAACCCCACAGAAATCTATTGCATGAATAGTGAATATTAATTAGGGTAGCAACAAAATTCAACCCAAAAAATGAAGTTAATAGCAGAAAATACAAAATAACAACAACAACAACAACAACAACAACAACAACAATAATGATGATGATAATATTAATAACAACCAGATAGGTGGTTTGGACAGGCACAAGTTTGAATTTCTATTTACTACTTGATATAAATATGGGTTTTTCTTCGACTTATTTCTTCCTCTAATCTTACATTCACTTTGAAAAAGAAAACAAAAACTGCTCCTTTAAGAAGTGGTTTTTAACCCAAATCAAGAACATTAAGATGTAAAAAGCCTAATACTAAACATAGTATGATAGAAATGTAACATAGAAACCTCATCAAAACCGGTCACTTCAACATGCAATCGACAATTCAAAAGTTATTTATGAATATTATTACAAGATCAAGCGATACCAAATGTGATGAGCTTAAGGATCTTGAATCTATCGCAATTCACACATAAGAGATTACAAATGAGAATATAACTGTTATAATTAAGAAAGATTGAATAAAATGGAGAGATGTCTTAGGAGTGACGTGAAATAATAAAATATCATAGAGAATTAATGTTAAATTATATAAGTTTGTGATTAAATTAACTATGTTACACGAATGAGTGTTAGGTGAAAAGCAAGGCATTGATAGCAATAAATTCAATTAAAAAAAATGTAAATGTTAAACGAATGCATGAAAAAATTAGAAATGATAGATTGGTAATAGACTACACAAGAAGTAATGTCGAGTAATACTTGTTGAATACAAGAAAGTGAGAATCATTTTCAAGTGAATTTGAAGTGTGAAACATAGGATAGAAAAATAACCAATAAGAAGGTTATACAAGGTTAACGTAGGAGAATTAAGATAAAAGGAGTAAATCAATTATAACATATAAAAAAGTTGTCTAATAAGATCTGTAAAAAATAAATTTACCACCTCAACAACAATCAACAAGAACGAAGATAGATTGTGAATTCAAAACTTGCCCCTAAATAGCTTGGATAATGCTAATTACAGCATGCTCACTTATATCTTTTTTTTTACATAATTTATTTATTTTTATTTAATGACCATGCCTAGCCAATTTTAAATACAACTGTAAAACAATAAAAGTTAGAGGCATTCGAGCATACATCAAGATGATTAACTATTTCAAGATATTCAACAAATCAACTAGAAAGAAAAATAATACAAAAAACAGGCTTAAACAGTGGCTAAGTTGCCTCCATTGTATTCTCCAGTGCGCAAGAGGTTATGTCAATCTACAACATCAAAGGTCTCACATTGGCAGAAACTAAATGGCTGGGTATGCCTTTTTAGTTGGAGAGTGAAAAATGTAAAAACTATGAAGAGCTGATATTCCAGCTTATAACCTTTCAATACTATAAATTCTTCCTTTTTATGGCCTTAGGTAGTAGTAATAGCGGGTATGAAGAGCTGATACTCCCGCTCATAACGTTTCCATAGTTACTATAAATTCATCCTTTCTATGGCCTCAGGTAGTAGTAAAAGCGGCGTTAGTTGTACTATTATATAGTTGTAATATAAACATGAAAGTTTAGGGGTGGTTTGGGATAACTTATTTTTATTTTTATTTTATTTTGTTTATATTTTGATTTGAAAGAAAATATGTTTGACTATATAATCAAAGTATAATTGTTTTTAAAAATACTCAAAACACCACATATTAATTTTGTTTTTAGAAACAAAAAATAAAAATCATATAAGAAGCATACTAAAAACTTAAAAAAAATAAACAAAAACAAAAACAAAAAGTGATCCCAAATGGCTTCTTAAAAACTAAATCCACCATTTATCCTACAAACGAGCCTCTTGTGAGGAAATAAACTTAAGACGACGAATATAATTAGTGCAACCTCAAGAAAACAAATAAGAAACATGAAACAAATTGAAACCATATCCCACGAATGAGATTTGAAAGAATTGCAATGCATTTTGATAGAGGCAAATTCTCCAGATTAAATTACAAAACAAAAAATCATTCCTGCACAATGGTGTAACATGGTAATGTATGAAAAAGATACCACCCAAAAACCTAATTTGCATTTATTAAAAAGTGCAAAACATGGATTGACAGCCATAAAGAGAGCAAAATACCATACAAACAAAATAATAACATAGTTGAGAAATGGGACAATGTTTGATGATTGCTCAAGAATGTTCTTGATTGAAATAATAAAAGTAATGATTCCATGAGAATTTCAACACAAAAATGAAACTAAGGAAGTCTTATTCATTGTTTCCTACAAAAGTTACCTCAATCGCGCTTTGGACAGCACCCGCCACCTCAAATTCCACAAAACCAAAACAGAACCCTTGCAACTGCACTCCAATAACAAACAAAAGTTTCCCTTTAAAAGAGAGATGATTGATAGATGACTAAATGGATAAAATTAAGTAAGACCAAAGAATTTAGATACTTATGAATGTAATCAAACCTTATTGCTTCTAACTTGGACGCCATTAGACTTAATTGGACCAAATTTCTTGAACTCCTCTTCTAGTTGAGCAGTGGAAGCATTCAATGGCAAATTCTTTACGTATATTGAAAACCCATCAGCTAAAGAAAATGACGCAAGAGAATCACATGGTTAATAAGGAATTTAAGCATCGCAATATTCACATAAGAGGTCTTACCCTCTGATTCTTGGACATTGCTGCTTTCTTCAACATTAGAAACTTCAGCAGCAATCTCAGATGAAGTTGCCAATACTGGTGCAGGAGTAACAGCCTGTCTCTCTGTGTTGACTGGTGCCAACCTTGCAGAAGCTGATGTAGGAACCGATACAGGTCTACTGTTCTCTTTCATCACCATCACCTACATCCATTAGAAATTTATAATATCAATAATTAAACTTTTATTTCAATTACATTTTGCAAATAAACCAAATGCAGTCCAACAATTTCAGATGTCTGGAATGCGCCTGTGAGAGAGTCTGCATTTTTATAACAGAAGCCTTGAGCATTTTTATGGTTGGTATTACGATGGACAATTTCAAAAGCTCTAAAACTTTCCCTAACAGATTTAGGATCAGATGCAAAAACTTTTATAAATTTCAAATTTTGGTAGCATATCAGCACATCATCTCTTACTTTAGCCAAAGATTACTCACTGATAATGTAAAATCAGAAAGGACCATAGTACTTGCTCCAAACAATCTTAAAATAGTCAAAATTTGAAATATGTAAGAGAAACTAAAATCAAAAGAGGACACCTAAAATGCAATCAAATGAAAGTTGCATGGCAATTAGGATTCATACGACAAAAGAGAAAACTGAATTGTAACATATTTGACAAAATCTAAATGCATACAAACTAATAACTAAATGAAAAGAGAGATAAGTGAGAGAAATAACTAATAAAATGATCCAAACCTCACATATGTACACGAAAAAAACATCCCTGAATGTTATCGTCAAGACTCACACGACACTTAAAAAATTCACATCTAACATATACAAACTCTATAAGAAATATTAATTTTTTTAAACCATTGAATAAAACATTGTGTCTAATGAATATTATTTATACGAAAAAAAATAATCATATTAAATATTCTCTTAAAATCCAAAAAAAAATTGGCTAAAAATTGCAACTCCTTAGTCAATAATCTTGGATTCCAGCACAAATAGTACTTTCCAAACCCAACTTGAGTGGAAAATAATAAGAACCATTCCCTAATACAACACCAAGCCAAGTACGAGGAAACAATTGCAGTTTACTATAAGATGAAAGCCATGAGAAGCCAAACAGCACATGCCTGACGCTACAACAAAAAAATTGCAGTCCAAAGTCTATAAAACAACAAATAGAAGCTACTACAAATGGAATAGGATTTGCATAAGTCAAATACAATACATTAACCCCTTGAAAGCTAAAAATAGTAACAAAAGCTACAACAAAATAAAGTACAAGAAATTAAGCAAGAGATTCCAAACAAATCTACTGGATAAGACTATAAAATCATAAACAACTAATTAAGAGAATTCATGACCCAAATTGAAAATGAATAGTGATACTAAATCAAATCGCCAAAATTAAATAAAATACGAGAGAGCACATTATATTTGTATAGACACCAATATCAAAGGAATGCTATATCAAAATCAACTCGAAAATAGAAAATAAAATGAAAAAAATGAAAACTCAAATGTCACATTTTTCATCCCAACACTCACATCCTATCTTTTTAACTAGCATAAAAATTTAGGCACCGCACCACAGTTTTGTCTGTGGGTAAACTGCGTTTTGAAAACTTTTTTAAAATCTGTCACTGAAATCTGCATTTTCCCACCACTTCTGCCTGGTGCGATGACACTTTTCTGGCTGCAGTCTGACTTAAAAAAAAAATTGTAATAGTAACCGCAGCTTTTTGAGCATCAAATTATTATTCAGCAGCTTCACAGCTGCTTTTAATAAATTGCAGCTGCCCCAAACAAACCTTTAAATTTCCATAAGATTTGCAAGCTAGAGAGGACTGATAATGTGAATGCCAAAGCATAAAATCATCAAGCAAACAAAATAAAAATGTTATGTTTATCACTTGAAAATTTGAATTTCATAATTTAATTTTTTGTTAAAATCATTACGATGTTTCAATTGAAGCTTTTATATAGATGCATATGGCGTAAATCCTATTCAAGACTATTTTTAATTTGTGAATCTTATTCCTCAATTTATTGAAGTTTGTTTTAGCTGCATCGTTACTATGATAAGTAACATTTAACATGATCATCATTACCCCCAACATAACTCTTATTAATAGAGACAAGTTAATCGGCCATAATGAAAATCCAAGCATTTCAATTTCGGGTCGAGACAATTTAGATTAAACATTTCATGTTTAGATTGAAACATTTTGACCTCGGCCTAATGATATTTTCAAAGAGGTAATGATTGGTTTATGTGCATTTAGTTGAGTATGGGTTCAAATATGTTTTAAAATTGTGCAATTTGTGGTGTGTCTCAATGTTTTTTGGTAATTTTTTTCATTTGAGGCATGCACCTCATGGCCTTTAATTTGAGGCATGTATGGCCTTAAAATGTGTGAAGTGTGCACCTTAAAGCAACTTTCTCTTAATAAATATTAAAAAAATATTACAAATTTAAACTTCTTTTATTATTCTCTCCCTCAAGCCTCACCACTCATGCAAACTCATGCCCCTCTTACTCTCGATCTCATGCAAGTACAAATCTCTTCTTGGCTCTCATGTCTCCGTCAGTTGTCTCCCCTTCATAGTCGTAGCTTCTTCCCTAGTCATCACTGTTGCCATCCACCTCCTTCCTCGTCATTGTTACCATGTCATTGTCAATAGTTCTTCCTCAACAAGAGACACATCTCTTCCTCTATCACATTTCTTGATTGTAACTATAGAAAAAAAAATTATTTGTTTATTTAGGATTTTTCCTTTAGTGATTATTTTGGTGTCAGTTTTTTTTTTTTTAAATTAAAGTTTTTCTTAGGGCTTTCTAAATTGGTAAAAGGCAGGGAAAAAAGCACAATAAAACATAAAAAAGGTTGATTATTGAAGCATACTGTGCAAAATAAAATAAGAGGGAATGAAAAAACACATGTTTATCTAAATACAAATATTGTGGAAAGGTTTTTAAATGAGATGTTAAAAAATGGAAGCATATTTTTTGCTCTAACAAGAATGTTTGATTGTGTTCCACGATGCTTGAAAAGGTGAAAAAGAAGACTAATGTATTCATAAATAATGTGCTAATGTCAAAGCATATAGCACAATGATAGTTTGATGACAAAACAAACCTCTGATCATAATATGATAGTGGTCCTAGTGTTGAAAATTTCTGTCTTTGATAAGAGATGAAAAAACACCATATAATAACATAGTTTAAGTTTTATGAGAAACCCATCTTTGTTGTCTTGTTAAATTAAAATAAAATATTATGCAATCATATTATCACTCACAATAGAAGCTTTGTTCCTTTTAAGTTTGCTTTTTGAACCATTTAATAAGCATATCAACTCATCTTGGCAGCAATAGTTAATCATTTTCATTCAAAACCAGAATCTCAGTATTGTTTGTCTAGTAGATATATATATATATATATATATAATAGTAAAGTATAACAAGACAATTTAAGATTTAAAAGATGTCCATTTCCATTATCTTATTAAATTGAAACAAAATAAATCGCATGCATATTAGAACTCACAATAGAAGCATAAGATTTCTTGTGCTCTTGTCCATCTGAAAGACTTGGAGCAGTTACTGCAGCCGGTGAATCAGTTGGACTCTCATTAATCACCTCCTCCACTGGCTCTTCATCTTCAGCAGCTGAACCTTCCCCTGATTCCAAAAGAACATAACTTTCCTCTTCATTCACTACATTCTCTTCTGGTGTTGCTGCAGTGTGCTGAAGAACAGTTTCTTCCTGTGAAGGAATTGAGTCTGCAGAAAGAAGAAAAAACAAATCCCATAGAAATGACTAAATAAATGGTCTTGAAACAAATATATCATCAAGCTCAGATATGCTTCCAAACCATACCATGCTCCGTGGTCTGACCAGCAGCTTTTTGCGTAAAATCCTGCTCCTCCTGCTGATCATCAACGTCCAGAAATCGAAAAATATCATTTAGAACATAGTAGCCCTTGTCCTGGGTGGCAAGAAAGAACGTCTGTGTGAAGTCCCTCTTCGCATTATCCTTCCCAATGAGGCAACCCGTCACTAGCACCATCACTCCACCATCAAGAGATTCCTGCGCATCAACCGTCTTGATCTGTGCTAAGTACTCACTGCAATTCATAGACAGAATCTTCTCATCGATGCCCTTCACCAACAAACAAAACCAATCAGATTCAACAAAACACAATCACTTAAGATAAGATCCCTCTTTCAGAACAATTTCTAATTGGAATCACAAACAAAAGAAATCAGAAATTACTTGCAAAGAGGAAACCGTGATCATCTCTCCGTTGGCTCCTGGCCGTCCCAGTTTGCTACTATCCTGATAAAACTGATGAATGAGCGCTGGTGATCGATGGAGGATGTGAAAGAACTGCTGGACAAAAACATTCCCGACCTATCCGTCACACCAGATCAAAAAAAAAACTCAGAATACGTCGAATTCCTGATTCAACTATCAAGAACAGGAAACAAAAGGCATGCTTCAATAATAGAATGTTTACCACTTGGGCGGAGGGGGGAGCCCCGGCGGGAGATGACTGCTGGGGCGCCATTCCTGGTCGAGAAGCCCAAGAAATACCAAAAAACCCTAGAACGAACCAGGCAGATCCGGATCAAATCGAGCAGAGATCAGCTGCGGGAAGCTCCGGCAATCGAACGTCAGGTAATCGAATAGGGGGTTGATCAAGCTGGCCTCAACGCCCTCCTTCCCGCTCTGTCGTGGACTCTGAAGGGTTTGCAGCTACGGATCTGCGAAGAAGAGCCAAGCGACGAAACCGTTACGTCGATATCGTGTACTCGTGCTCTAGATCTCCGCTTGATTTCTGCTGATATATGCTGGGCGATTAGTTTCCTTATTTGCATTTTTAAGAAAATTAAACGGGTATTTACATTCATGCCACCTAATTCTCCAAACTTAGTTGTGTGTTTGGGGCAGCTTGTGCGTTTCAGGATAAGTTGTTTATCTTGAAACGAAGCCTGAGAATTTGGTGGTAACTAAGACGGGAATGGACGGGCGCTCAAAATAATCTATAGAATATTGGATTATAGGATAGTGAGTATTCTGAAGAATATGACTAATTAAATGAATTAACAAAAAAACATGTTGAATAGATTACAAAGCCAAATGGCAACATTAAGAAGCAAAGAAAATCAAAAGGAGCAATTAGCTAGCTTGGTATCTCAAAGGATGTCAACAGTAGTGGAGAGTCATAACTTAGAATTTGAACAAGTGGTCCTTGAAAAATATGAAGATCTTGGTGGGACAATGATTAAGGAAGAATTTACTCATTTTTTTCCAAGCACCCCCTTGCATTGTAGGGGATATAGTTGACCATACAGGACTAAACATAGGATTGCCTCAAGAGAAGGAATTGGAGGATACCCCTAGGTAGAAGAATAACCATATAGACTTAGATCGTGAGCCTAATAAACTTAGGGACAATCCAATCAGACCAGGAATAATTTTTTAAGGACCAATTTCTTGTAACTTGTGAGGAAACATTGATATGCAAAGAAGGGAATTAATTGGAAGAATTTTTTATTAAAAAATACCCTTATAAATGATAATCTCAATAGACCCCCCTACATACTCTTTAGAAGACTGCGTTTGAGTTAAGAGAGAAATGTTGGAATAAAATCTAATTTTTGAAGACTTAGTAAAAACTCTAGGACCAATAAAATATTGTACAATTAATCAGATATTACTAAATTGGAATTTTGACCCCAGAGACAGCCTTTTCCATTATGATGAGCAGTTAAATCAGACGTTATCTTGAGAGATAACCCAAGTATTATCTGATTTGTTGAACATGCTTTTACTTTATGCATTTGTTTCAAAATTTACTTTGAATTTTGTTTTAAAAATTTCTTTAAAATTTGATTTAAAATTTCATTTGAATTAGTTTTGAGTCTTGTCCCACAACGGAGTAGTTAGTCCCAAATTATGGGTCAAGAGTCGAGAGCACCGATTTGTGTGTCCGCTATACTTTTACACCTCTTTTGATTTATGCATTGTTGCATATTTTACATACTTGTATTATGAGATTATTATGGTTGCTCTTGTATTTACTCTTTCCCGCCTTTAATTTTTGTACCCATATTTACTTTTATTTGCATGTTATATATGTTATCGAAAAAAACAAGTTTGAGGGAAAAATATTTACCTTTTTACGTGTCTGAGAGTAATTCATATAAATCAGCAAAAGACTAAAAATATTAATATGGTAACTCTTACTAGGAATTCTGATTAATTCAACTAGCTTAACAAATTTTCTTTTAAAGAAGGATAAATTTCATTTAAGAAAGATTAACCTTAATGTTTCAAAAATGATATTTCAGAACTTAGCTATTCTAACTATACCTAAAGAAATCTTAAAATAATTAAAAAGGTGTAGTTAAAAAAATAAGTAGCAAACCAAAGATGTTTTAAGTCTTTTTAGTTTTTGTTAGCTAGTTCGGTGTTATCTTAATTTTAACTGAAATGTGCCGCATTAAACAATAATTTTTTTTAAATTTATTGCTTAAGAAAAACTAAGCTTTCCAAATATCTTTAAGGAAAAAAAATTGCCTAACTAGATATAATAATTCTCAGGGAAAAACAAAAAGAAAAAGAAAAACAAAGAAGGAAAAAAAAATAAGAAAAAGTAAGTGTAAAACGTGAAAAACCCTGAGAAGAAGCTTGAGGTTTGCATTAAAATTTAAAGAAAGAAAACTGGGAAGGTGGCTAGTAGAACTTAAGTGATAAGACTTTTTCATGATTCTTTAATGAAACCCATCTAATGTTACCCTTAAGAAAAATATTAAGTAGAATTAAGTTGGCTAATTTCACTGGAATTGCTATAAAATATTAGAGGTTAGTTAATGTATTTTAACATCACCAATTTAAGCATCTTTGAGATTTTCTAGGGGAGGAACAAAGGGGATTAAGGAAAAAAAATAAAGTTATTAAACATTAAGAATAATTAACCCCCTGAAATGACACTTAAACACTTTTATTTGACTTTGACAAAGAAGTTGAATAATTTTGAGAGTACCTATTTTTCTCATGGGGCCCCAAATGATAAAAGAGATTACTTGAGCGCAAGTAATGAGGTAGGTTTAGGGGTATTCACATGATCTAATTTTACATGAATTAACTTACTTTTTATCCTGCATTTTACCTGTTATTTTTATTGATTTATCACTTTTTTACAGTTGCAAAAAGTTTTGTTGATGTTTTACAGGTAACAGAAGTTGAATCCGTGCATTTTGAAATGATAAAAAAATAATGTAAAAGCGGTCTAAAGCGGTGTGATCAAGCTAGAATTTGGTGTGGTCTCGCTTCAATCTGACATGACAATCCCATATTTACAGAGAGGCGGTGTGATGATCTACCTTAAAATTACTTGTTTATAGAGTGAATTTCATGTTCATTTTATGCACTTTTTTTTATGATATTGCACTTTAAGGGAATGCATTTTGCATATTTTTGGTTTCAGGTATAAGGAACGGAGTTTTAGCAAAAATGAAGCAAAAATGGTGCAATTTGGAGCCAAATTGAGCAAGAAAGAAAATTCAGATCTGACACATTTTGATTTGAATTTCTATGCTTAATTTCCTCTATATGTATCACATATTTTTGAATGAAATTACATTTTAAAGAAATGTTATTTTCATGTTTATCTTGTATGTATAACACTAGGAGCGAACCAGAGCTGAAACAAGGCAAAACAGAGCAAAATAGGTGTGATGCCCGCGGGTTGGCATATAGCACCATACACGACTATAAACAGGCGCTATAGTGTCGATTCTGACACCGTAGCGCTTAAGACGGTTTTTGGTTGGCCTTTGGGCGATTCCGGACCATCCTGGGATGTTCTGGAAGCTTTTGGATGGCTTGCACGTCCCATTGAGCGGTTAAATGAATCTAGATACTTGGAAAGTCTCTTGGATGAAGAGATGTGTCTCTTGGAGAAGAAGGGGTTTTTGTGTTGGTTTAATAAGGGGGTAGCGCCTCTCATGACAGATAAATTAGAGTGTGTTTTTAAGAGGAGTTTTTAGTGATATTGAGAGAGAGTTTGGCGTGAGTCTATGGAGATGTAGATTTCTCCAATTTCTGGAGAGATTGGTGAGAGATTTCAAGAGATATGTGTAAAAAAGTAGGAGTGGCGCATGGATCGGTAGGAGGCTTTGTTGGAGAGATTTGCATCTTTCTTTCAGAGGAAAAAAAATTAAGTATTGTGTTCTTCATTATCTTGTAATTGTTGTAAACACTTTATAGTGGATTTTTTTTATTTAAACGAAGTTTTCTGTTGTGTTTTATCAATGTTTCATAAGTCAATGTTTCATAAGTAGTTTTTTTACTCATTTTTTTAATATGAAGTAGCGACATGTGTAGGAAAATTTATTTTATAATAAAATAATTTTTATTTTTATGTGATGAGTAATATCTCCTTTGCTTCATTAACATAACTTAAGTGGCAATAAGTTATGTTAAAATTTGTTACATGTGAAATTAAGGCTCGGGAGAGCAAAGATCTTGCAACTTGAGTGCACTCACATTGATCGGTTGGTTAGTAAAAGTTTAGGCGACAATGCAACTTTTAAGAAAATGTAATTTAATGATTTGTTTCTATTAGATGCTGCTATGTGACAGATAGTTGCATAAAACTAATAGAATACCAAACATAAATGTACACTCAAAAGAGGATAGGTAGACATATATTCATTGTTGGCACATAATTTATTACTTAATTATATCAATCATTTTACTGCTCATGTCATTATCTTCATTTTATTTTTCTTTTGCAATGAAATAGATGCATGTTTAGGAATTTAGATGTGCTCAAATATTCTCTTATTAATTAATGTGATGATATTTTCACCGGCTCTTAATTTACTTTGTAAAATGCTCACTTGCAATGTTAAAATCTGTTCTGAAACATAATAATCTGGGAGGGTTATGATTTCACCAACTAGTGAGTACCACATTTCAACTTGGGCAGAGCTGTTGTGATCACCTGAGGGGGAGTGCAAATAGATAGGGAGATAAGTTTTGATGGGTGTATAATTGGTATTTCTAGGTTGACATACTAGATTTTTTTATCAATTCGGTCTAGAGTTTGGATCGTAAGATAGGTCCTGTAGAGAGGGCACAGTGGGTAATCTTGAAGTGAGAGGGCGGAATCTACTGTCGCAATCTACTCAACACTACTACACAAGCTGGAAAAAAACTTTAGGTTAGCCAATATTCTTTGCTAATTCTGAGAGGGAGTAAGAAATAGGTTTGCTCCTATTTGTCACTGGCTACATTAAAATCTAAGCATTTTATTCTTACACATTATTTAGGTCATTGCACGAGAAGAGTAATCTTTAACATCTTAAAATTCTCTAAAACAATTTATCCAGATAAGTTATCTTTAGATTTTCATTTAGGAATAATTATTAGAAAAATCACTTTAATCGACATTCCAAACTAAGGCCTGATAGTAGTAGACTATAATTAGTCTAAGGGATTTTTTACCTCTCTTCTCTATGGGATCGATACTTGGGTCTTAAAAGAAAACCCTATATTACTTCAAACGATACGTATACTTGAGTAATATCCATAGTATGTAAACAATTTTTTAAATTTTATAATATTTGGACTTTACACACTAGCCGCTAAATATAAATTGGGTCAAGTTTTTTATCATCTTTTGAAAGCTAAATTATTGTGTAATTTTGTGTAATTGTGGTAATTGCGGGTTGGTTCAAGTGCCCACATTGGGATCGTGCGTGACCACACATCCCGATAAGTTTAGTTGGTCATGCCAGTTTGCAGAGAAGCGTCGTGA